CAATTCGTACCTAAGGGTTCCACATCCCGAGCTCGCACATAATCGACTTAAGCACAGCTCGAGGATTCATAAAAAAACCTTAATAAGCATTCTAATATAAGTTCAAAGCTTGCCTATTGATTATTAAAAAGCCTAAGGATTTGTTGTATTCTGAGCCCGAGCCAGTGCTCACTCGATTATTGAGGTTATAACATCAAAAGTTTTCACAAAACAAAAACGACGTAGACTTTGAAACAAATCAGAGATGGAGTGGAAAGAAAAGGAATTCCTTATATACATAAAAGTTATTTACGGTGCCCACAAGGGGCCTTACACAAAAAAAAATCCTAAGGGCCTAGTCTACTTTAGGATCCACATCTTTAGGAGGCGCATCTTCGGGAACCTCCTCCTTGGGGACTTCATCCTCATCTCCTCCGCTCTCGGAACCACTAGCAGAGTCTTCATCATTGGAGAGTAAAGTGGAAGCCTCATCCTCCAAAATTTTTGCCTTTTCAATATCAGTTGAGACGTCAAAGCCACGAGCGTGCACCTCCTCAAGAGTTTCTCTTTGGGATTGTCACCTAGCGAGATCGAAAGCACACGACAATTTGACTTCAGCAGCGATGGCGATCTCATGTGCCCGAATGTTGGCAGCCTCAACATCAGCTCGATATGAGGCCACAAGTGCCTCCACCTCAGATTTGGCCTTTGCAAGCTCGGCGACTGATTTAGCTTCGAGCTCCTCAATCTTTCGGCTTCGGGCCAAGTTTTCCCCCTTTTCATTTTGAAGCTGGAATTCGACGAAGCCAACTAGGCCCGAAGCGTGTCTTTCTCTGAGGCAAGATGATCCATATGCTGCTTCCACCCCAAGGTCTCGACTTCTTTCGTCTTGACCTCCTCTCGAAGCTGCTCCACCAAATCGCCCTTCTGTTGGGCCTGCAAAGTCGAAGTGTTAATCGCTAAATCAAATGAGCACGTAACAAACTCCCAAAAGTTGCATTAACTGCTCAATGAGCTCAGTCTGTTCCTGATGAGTCCTCGCCATTTCAGCTCGGAGATACCTGATCTCCTCCTCTTTTTGAACGTAGAGGATCTTGAGGCTATACCTCTCTTCCACGAGATTCTTGAGTTCGGCCTCGCATCGGGCAAGCTTGGCTCGAGATTTGGAAAATGTTTCTCGATGGAGTGTCATGGCCTTCACACAAAAGGAAAAAGTTAGACTCGGAAAACAAGAATAAAACACAAGCATAATTTTGAGGGCAACAACTTACTTGTTTAAGAAGTCGTTGGGCCTCGTCAAAGATGAATGAAGCATCTGGGTCGGGACCATCTTCGACCCCTGCAAAGCATCCCTGAAATATATCATTCTCTTCGTGGGCCGTCCTCACATCAGGAGTCTTCATAGCCCGGGCATCTCAGAACTTCCCTTCAGAGAACACGGGGCCGGGCAGCGATTCATCTATGTTAATTATCCCAAGTGACTCACTTGGGACATTCTCTTCTCCTGGGGGGCATAGAATTATGCCCTTCGGGCTCACCCGCCAGATGTTTCTCATGACGGGGTGCGCTTTTATCACCCGATGGCTCGGGGACTCTGCTCGAGCTCCCCTCCGAGATTTCTTCGGTTCGAGATTGAACCGTATCGGCCACCATCGGTTCAGCAGCCTTTGACGTTTTAGTGCTTCCTGTCTTCCGAGTTACCAACAAGCAGTCGGCGTCCTCTCCTTCTTCCTCGTCCTCCCGAAGTTGTTGGACAGCATCAGTAGACAGGGCTTCAAGGTCAGCCCTAGGCTTTCAAGCCCTATTTCTCCTAGGCTTCGGGGTATGTGGAGGCGGGGCCCATTTCCTTTTTGGATGGATTCGAGATCTCCTCTTCACCGGGGGGAGGTAGCCTCATAACAACATAATCTCTGAGGCCTGCGTAAGGGGAAAGTAAGTATTTTATAGAGAAACATCAACATATGAACAAAGGAACTCACCATAGTTTTTAGCTTCCCACCGACCCCTGGCCAAATCACGCCAACAACGCTCATCATAAGAATAAGTGGAGGCCAGTTGTCGAACCCAACCGGCAAGGTTCGGGATCGCACCAGGAAAACAAGGAGAGGCTACACATCGAAAAGAAATTAGATTGAAGAGGAGTAAAAGAAAGCAAAATACAGAGCATCATCGATGGAGTTGCACTTACGTTTCATGTTCCATTCCTCGAGAAATGGCATTCTCTCGACAGGAATTAGGTCGGAGGTCTTGATTCGGACGAACCGGCTTATCCATCCTCGGTCTTTATCCTTGTCAATGCTCGAGAATAGAGTCTTCATGGACCGATGCTGGAGTTTTATCAACCCACCTCGATAGAGGCGAGGGTTGTATAGCCTGATCAGATGGTCGAGGGTAAATGACATCCCCTTGACCTTGCTCGAGAAATACCCAAGCAGAAGGACAATACGCTAGAAAGAGGGGTAGATCTGGCCAAGGGTCACCCGATATTGATGACAGAAATCGAGTATGATCGGATCCACGGGACCCAGTGTGAAACGATAAGTATACACGCTTAAGTATCTTTTCACATTGGTAGTGATGTCCTCCTCTGGGAATGAATCACCACTTTTTTGTTCTCCCAATTGCAGTCCTCCTTCACCTGCTTGAGATCGTCTTCAGATATTGAGCAGATGTATCGGGACATGGGTTCACATCGGCCTGGGACTGATGGAGGTTTATTGACTTTGAAATCGGAGGTTAACTCGCATGGCCCTGGAACGCACTCCTCGATACGAGGTTCCGCCAGCGTCCTACCATCGGCCGACCGCGATGATTAGGAGGCTTTTTCTTTTTGAGGGACATTTTTAGACGTTTTAGACATCGCCGTCGTAGAATTCAAGAAAGGAGTAGAAGTCGATATTGAGAGAAGCACAGGTTGAAAAGGAGAATGGACTCAAAGAAGATGGAGAACCTTGTAAAGATTTGGGAAAGGGTTTGTAAAGATTGTAAAAATTGAGGGAATGACCTATTTATAGTGGCCGCTTCAACGGTTTGGGGAAGCTAATGGTTGACCATCCACCGCCTCCAATTAATGGCCTTGGGAACTGTGTAGACGCGACTCTTCAGTCGCTTCTGTCGCTGACGTCATGAAGTTGACATCATGATCGAGGCATCGGAGGATCGAGGATCAAAACGTTTCTTATCATTTTATTCTAAGAAACGCGGGGACTATCTGTATAGGGTCAAAATCAGATATGCCCGATTTCGTGGGCTCGAAGAGTCGCCTCGAGCCCAAGTTCAAAATGGACCGAGCTCGAGCCCGATGACGGAGTACGAGACTCGAAGATCGAAGTGCACGATGAACACTGAGGCCGAATATGACCAACCCCGAGATGATGCCATTATGGTTTTCTAACAGAAAGAGCAAGATTCCCTCAACAGCCTTAAGATCAAGGCGTAAATTCCGGAACGGATTTGTACTAGGCGGTTAGACAGTTGTCCCATTAAGATTCCTTACTAAAAATGGAAATGTACCTTGTTAAGGACTCCCCTATTATATAAAGGGGAGCCCATTCATTTGTAAGATCATCAATCATTGGCAAAGGAATATATATTCTTTACTTTCTTGCTCATTACTCATCAGAATTGTCTTTTAACTGTATTATTCTTACTGGCCCACCTCGAGGCCATCTTAGCTCGAGGTCAAGATTTGCTTACACACTGATTTGATCCAACTTACTTCTTTAATTTATACGTTTGATTTCTTGATTATTAGTTAGTATTGGACTAAATCACGTATCTTTAAGACCTCAATATAAACTTAATTGTTACTCGAATTTTAGGGTAAATAAAGGGACCAAAGTAGACCTGCCCTCAAAGATAAGGAACAATATTGGTCAAAAACTCTAGGGGAGATCATGACATTCTGATTTTCCATACAGGAGTATCCTTAGTATCAATTAACATGGATGCTTCGAAATTACTCCTCTTAACACATAAATATGTCATTGACAATGACAACACTGTTAAAAAATGTTAAAATGGCACTGAATTATTATGAATTACACACTCCTAAAAAAAATGTATCCAATAGTATTAATTAACATGTGAACCAAACGACCCCTACCTTAATTGACATATGCTAACAATAATAACAAACCTAATACAATCCTACAAGGGAGGTTTGTGAGAGCCTGGTTTGCACGCAAATTGTACACCTACGTTGTGTGAGAAATTGACACGTGCTAACACTTGAATAATTAGTTGTCGACTCTCAAGATACAACTAACCACGAGTTCAAATTAATTTGTAAAATACAAGTAGCTTTATCTTATTTGAAAAACAATACTACCACGTCCTTTGATTCAAAGCCAACATAGCAAAACGTGAAAGAAAGTCCGTCGAAAGAAGATATTATACAACTAATATGGGCTTAATTTTGAAGTTAGTGTCAATTTATCGTTAAAATAGCATGGGCTAGCCAGTTTTCGGACTGGTCATTGAAAAATAGCCAGCATTTGCAAAGTCATTGAAAAATAGCCACTATTTTGCTGCAACAATGACCGGTCCAGCATAATATACTGGAGATCGGTGCACCTGTATATGAACTTCCCGCATATTATGCTGGAACTCCAATACGCGAAAAGTTTCAGCATAATATTTTGGAGATTGGAACACCTATGTATGAACTTCCAGCATATTATACTGGACCGGTATATTATACTGGAACTCCAATATATTATGCTGGAGTTCCAGTATACCCATGCTAGAACTCCATTATAATATACTGGAGTTCCAATATACCTATGCTAAAACTCCAGTATATTATGCTGGAATATTTTTGGTTTTTGAATAGTGTTTTCGTTCAAATTTATCTTTACATAAAAAGTGGCTAAAGTTCGATTACTTTTGAAGTTGTGGCTATTTTTGAATGACCATTTATAAATCTGGCTATTTTTGAATTTCTCCCAAAATTATCTTTAGCTGGTGAAATTTTTGTACTTTCCATTCAAAAAATAAAAGTGCTCACTATTTGAGAACAATTATCAAAGTTAAATCATTAGATTATGCCACAAGGCCACACCTAAAACGTTTTAAACCGAAATGCACATTCAAGTACCACAAAACCGTCTTAAAGAAGGGTAGAAGGTCAAATCCATTATCCATCGAGTTTCGAAACTTGCGTCTCCCCAGGATTTCTCAGTTAGGGTAGAGGGGCAAACCATTATCCACCGAAGTTCCAAAACTTGAGCTACTAGCTCACGAGCTTTATATATGATTAATATGTATGCAATAGGATATACCAGTAAAAGACACAGAATGTGTCTTCTTACAAAGGAACCTCTAAATCTCCTTCTTCCCATTTAAGAATGCACTATCTGCTCTTTCTCTCCGGCCAAGAATGTCTTCCAGATAACCTCCTTCACGGCTCGATCATGAATAAGCAAATGTCCAACATTGGGTACTTCATGGTATTGTATCCACGGAAGCCTTTGTGCGACGTAGCGCTGTAATATAACAGGCACAACCCAGTCTTCAACACCATGCCACATGTGGACTGAGCCTTCACCATTTGGGAAAGGGCTCTTAAGATCCATAGGATCAAAATCCCATTTCCCGAACCCCACCATCATGTCACGATGGAGGGACTCGTAAACTCCTTGTTTTACAGCATATTCCTACATACGAAAGAAGCAGCAATGTTTAAGCCAACAACGATCATCACATAAGTAACAGCTCATGAAAGTAATTCCGAATTGTGGGTTATTTGTGCTAATCAATTACATTCTAGCACTCTAGTGGCTTGCTTTTCACTTACACTCAAAACAAAAACAAAAATTTTACAAGCGGAACAAACACCTCAAGATAAAAAGTAACATAATACCACAGATCCTGGTGCAACAAGTGAACAAACGTGAAAGCTTGAAATTCGTATGGTTTTGTCGCTCCTATAGTGGTTATTCTAACGTGTCACTAAAAACAGAAGTAACATGTAATATGAGCAGGAATAAAACAACTCCAAGCTGTGACCAGAGGCGGATCCAGGATTTGAACCTTATGGGTTCCTAGCATTTGGACAAAAGTTATACTTTCAGCAAGTAAGAAAGTTTTTTAATGTTGCCTTATAATATTTTTAAAAGCAAAAGAGAAACAAAAAAGTGCTTACGGGTGTTGTTTTGTGGAAAAAACGAAAGTGAAGCTAAAAAACATACAATGGGATTCGAACCCGTGCCAGATATTCAGGGAAATAGCTTAAGTTGGTTCCTCCGTTTGCCATTGGACCAACAGCTAATTTGCTTATGGATTCCAAGCTAAAAATAATTATATATTTAAGAGATTTCTCAAAACAAATACAAGGTTCGGGTAAAAGTTACTGGGTTCCCGGGAACCCACATCCGATACTGTAGATCCGCCCCTGGCTGTGACACTTCACATTTCCACAAATTCTTCCAGAAAATTTATCACAAGGATCAAACACGATCAAGGGATCGTGAACTGACATTAATCTAACAATAAATTATCCATATTCAGGTAGGAAACTGATTACCTTAAGTTTTCGTATTTTGCTTGCATGCTCAGCAGATCTGGAAGCAACTTGTAGATCTGGAGGAGACATTTTTGGTTTTTCAGCTATTACACTATTGCACGGGAACCACTTCTGAGTGTTCCACCAGTAGACTAGCCAAGGTGCATAATGT